GCTTTGTCCTTCCTGTGCCTCCGTTTTGCCCATCCCCTTACCAGGTCAGCATGTCTTACCCTCAAATGCTTAGTACTTTGATGTTGTTACACCAACCAAACAGATGAAAGGGGCTTATTCTTGCTTTTCTCAAACGTATTTGCAATTTTAAAGAGTTCCCAGGAAGAGGATACGTGCTCAAGAGGACAGATTGAACAGAGAGATACCTACAAAGGGGTGACAGTGCCTGGCTTGGATCCCTTTTAAGAACTTTGGGCTTTTCCCTACAGCCATAGGGAGCCACAGAAGGTTTTGGAGCAGAGGAATTAACATGATCTCACTGGCAGAGTGAGGGAGTATTGACAAGCTAGGGATTGCCCAAGACTGGAGGCAAGATGATCTGTTAGGAAGCTGGAGAAACAACCAAGGTAGCAGTGATGTGGGTCTGAACCATGGCTGAAGGAACGGAAAAGAGAAGGACAGTTAAGGTCAGAGGAAATAAAATCTTGAATTTATTACTTTTTTTACAAATCCAATCAGTCTTATTTACTCTATCATTCATCTATTCAACAAATACATATTTAGTGCCTATTTAGGGCCAAGAGCTATGCCACCCCTGAACTCACTTTCGTTTCAATACTGGGTCACAAGGAGAAATAGATCAGGAACTCAAGAACGGAAGCAGAATTCTTCAGTTTGTATTCGGGCATTTCGAGTTCGTCAGTTGTGGCCAACTTCAGAATTTCTCTCTGGGTTCTTTAAGGATCAATCATCACCAAAAACCCAGCTTAGAGAAGACACAAATTACAGTATAATTTGAGGCCTCTCGGGTTTAATCATTAGATATTCATTCTTTTGGATCAGTCACTGCAGCTACAAAGGGAAAATCCAATTAATTATTCTACAATCTTTTCACTCCCCTGCTCCAAAACCTTCAGTGGCTCCCCATGACTTACAGGACAAAGTTCAAGGTCCTTAGAATGGCATCCAAACCAGGCACCATCACAGCTATAATTTTACATTTATCTGTGTGAATCTAACTGAAGCCTACTTCTCTCACTAAACTATAATCTATTTTTGTTCATAATTGTATCATCAGCACCTGACACAGTGCCTGGCATATAGAGGCTGCTTAGTAAATATTTGTTAAATGAATGAGTGAATGAATGAATGCAAAACAGCAATGTGTCTCTGCTTCAGAGTGAAAGGACTAGATGTCAATATTCATGGTTTTGATCATGTCCCTGTTCTGTACCTTCTTGGACTAAACCCTCTGTGGACTTGAACTCCAGGCCAACCACAGCTGCAGCCTGGCTTCCCAGGGGCTCTAAGGCCAGGAATAAGTCATGGGCACCCAAAGACTGACCCCCTCATTCCCATCAGGGGATTTAAAAATTTTTTTTAATTAAAAAATTATTTTGGGGGAGTCGGTATTTGTTTTACATCCATTACTGAGGTGACAGGACTACAGAGGCGACAGCAAAATCATGAAGAATGCTTGCTTTCATATCACATGCTTTTCTCTTAAGAGTGATAGCGATTTTCTGGACAATGACCTTTGCC